CTCTGGAATCTTTCACCAACATTATAACATTCCTCTTTCATAATAACTACTTCTCTTTCAACAACAAAATATATTCTCAGACACAAGGTTGTCCTATGGGACCTGTTCTATCACCAATTTTGGCAGAATATGTTATGGATGATCTGCTTGATACTGTTATTCCGACACTACCTTATAACCTCTTCTTCATAAAAAATACGTAGATGACATTATTTTATGCTTTCCCTCCAGAGGTTTGGATAGTATTGTCGGAGATTTCAACAGCTATGACCCCTACATCCAATTAACCATTGAAAGAGAAAATGAGAACCTGTCTGCCCCCTTTCTAGACACAAGACTCATCCGCACCAACAATAATAGTTTATTGGTAGACTGGTACCAGAAACCCATGACCTCAGGCCGTTTCCTCAATTTTAGGTCATACCATAAACTAAGGATTAAAATCAACTTCGTGAAGCAGATGAAAACAAGGGTAATCAGCATCTCTGATAATACTTTCCACACTTCAAATTTACGGAAGCTATCAAAACTGTTCATCAACAATGGTTATCCGAAGTGTTTGCTTAACAAGATCTTGTTCAGCTCTCGTTCCAGTATTTTACCAAACTCTAATAGTCCGAGTAGTATTCTCACAACTCCTAATAATAGAACTGATATAATTCCCAACAACAATACCAATTCTAACAACAATATAACCGCCATCCCAAATTCCAGATCTGGTTTTGCTGTCCTACCCTATATCAAAGAACTCAAAGAACTGACCCCTAAGCTGATCATACTATGTAGCCCGTTGAACTGTCGAATTGCTTGTAAATCCGTTTTCACTATAAACTGTATTTTTTACAGATGAAAGACAGAGTCCAGCTGCTTGGCTTAACCAACACAGTTTACTCTATCAATTGCAATAATTGCAACCAAATATACATAGGTCAGACCTCTTGATCTCTAAAAAGAAGGATTTCATCATACAAAAGTGATTCTAGGCTTCATACCGAGAGATGTGGTCTGGCATCTCATCTCAATACAACAGGGCACTCTATAAACTACACAAGTATCAAAGTTCTTGATAAAGAAAAACACCTATCTAAATGTTTATTCCTGGAAATGTCCCACATTTTGATGAATTACAACTGTATGAATAAGAAGACAGATGTTAAGCAACTGAGCGTCATTTACTCATATTTGCGAAACTGCGAAAAGTTGGAGTACGTACATATCTCTCCAAATTTCGACTTTCACAACCATAAACGAAATCTGCGCTATGGTCTATTCAACCCTTTTCGCTCCAAAATTTCCATTCCATGCAAATTTGAATAATTGGTTTTTTCTCATAATAAAATAATAATTGTTTAATTCAATTGCCCATCTCATCAACAATACAGTTTGTTCAACTGCCTCTGGTCTGCTGACAAGTTCTTATTTAACATATCTTGATAAATAACACCATATGAAGTGATCTGGCAACATAGTACACACTTTACAAATTTTCGTACCATCCATCGACACTGACACCACCAACTTTCTGTCACCTGTCAAATGTTTCATCCTACCTGTGATCCCGTGCCCACCATCTTGTGCAGCATCTTGTGGTTCACGATGTAATTTTAACTTTTGTTTTAAATATTTTTAATCCGTTTTAATTTGTTCCTGACATACAGCTGTGTTTAGCTCATTCAAGGAGTCAAATATGTCAGTTAAATAAGCCAACTTTTATTGAAATGTGTCATTTTTGAACACTGTCAAGTAATCGTGTTTTTCTTTGAACTCCAGCATCATGTGGTTCACGATGTAATTTTAACTTTTGTTTTAAATATTTTTAATCCGTTTTAATTTGTTCCTGACATACAGCTGTGTGTAGTTTATATTAATTTTGACGAATGTACCATGTATCCAGCATTCACCAGGTTACTGGTTGTTTCCTTCAACCGAAACGTTAATAACATTTAGCAACAATCGCACATACGACTATAAGTTCATTTAAAATCGTTTTGCACTATAGTTGCTATTTCTTCTCAATGTTATTGCAGCTCCTCCAGAGATTAATAAAGTATACAGGTCCTCTTTGTTTGAATTTTGTCGAAGCTTTATTTTTCACCTATATATATATATATATATATCTGTAGTATCTGAAGTATTGACGTATCAGCTATTTGTAATGCTATTTCAATTTATATCAGAAAATCTCGACTTATTGGAATTTCCAATTCAAGAATTATATTTTATTATTAACAACTTTCATGCTTATACGCTAGGACTGACAGTTTTGAAAATATGAAGCAATTTCCGATTAGCAAGATAACGGAGGGTGGAGCTGTATTTTTGGCTGACTATTTACAAGATTTTCCAATCGGCTTATCCTTTGGTGTTGTCGGACATATTTTTGTACAGCTCTTCTTTTTTACCGAGTCATAATTATTGTATGGAAGTGTCATTATAGAGATGTCGCAACTGAAACTCTGATCCGTTAGAATATCGACATAAATAGATAAAACACAAAACGAACGAGAAGGTTGATTTTTTTCTAATAACTTGAAGTCGTAAGTAGGTAGTCCAGTTCTGCAGATTAGAGGAGAAGTTTGTCAATTTTCTATCTCCTCACTCGAGCATCATTTGTAACTAAATATAATCGTTTTCAAGGTTCATTCTTATCTAGGCTGCCTTGTACAAGGATCTTGATAGTCAAACTTCTGTCGTCTATTTATGTGAGAGTAATGTGAATGCGATGACTTTTATGTCAAGTTTCATAGAAGATACTTTTACGAATAAAAAAGTCATACATACAAAAACACAAGGAGAGAGTTCTGCTTCGATCCGTAGCTAACTCCGACATATGGCTAAGTCAAACGCTACAGATAATACAACCGCTACAGGGAAGAACTCTAAGCCCTTTGTGTAAGTACCACGACAAACAAAAGCCCGAATCGTCAGTTTTGACATTGAAAACCTATACAGTTTTCCCATACCAGCGGTTTTACGGATGATCGAACTAAAACTTAGACAAGATCCTGAGCTATAAGAAACAACGAACCTGCCGTTTGAGTGAATAATAGAATTATTAATTTTCTGTTTGCAGAGCAACTACATTCAAGTAAAATAATAATTCAACTTACAAAGAGAAGGACTGCCAATAGGATCACAATTGCCTCCAGTCTTGGCTAACTTGTACATGAAGCGGCTAGAGTCAATGGCCATGGAAAGCGCAGAAATAAAACTCAAGTTGGATGGGATATCTGGACGATACCTTCTTCATCTGGAACCATGGAAACGTCCAGCTGCAAAAACTCTTTGAACTCCTCAACAGCCTAAGGCCATCGATAAAGTTCACGATAGAAGACGAAGTCGTCAACGGGCTTGCATTCCTAGAACTCAGAGTGATGAAGAACAACAGCCAGACAGAAACCTCAGTATACAGGAAACCAACACACACAGAGAAATAGTACGTAATTCTTCAATCTATCCTGTGATCATGAAGAAAGGGATGGTTCAACATTCGTTGTTCGAGCTAAAGACATCTACAGCATGCAGGCAAGCTTAGAAGAGGAGGCCCACAAGATTAAGGAAGACCTGACATAGAACGGATACCCAAGAAGAATAGTAGAAGAAGTTTTACGAGAGGACACTACAATCAGGAGAAGCACGCCGAATGAACAGCAGCATACCTTCATAATACCGTACATGGAATTCATTTATAGTATATTAAGAATAATCGGCAACCAAAATCACATCGAAATAAGATTTTCAAGGAATATAACACTACGGAGCATTCTCAAAAAACCAAACCCAGGAAAGAAAATCACGACACCAAGGCCTGCACATACCACATTCCATGTGAATGTGGGAAAGTTTGCTATGGGAAGACGAAGATACCATTGGCTGTGAGATTGAAGGAGCGTCGACCTCACACAGAACGAGCCGCAAAAGAGAAATTACGGATAGCATTACACACACGGAAAGAACACCGCGCAATAAAATGGAAATACAACAATATCATACATGAAGAAGCACACTGGTATCGCCAAAAATTCAAGGAGCCAGCTTACATAACCAGCAACAGCAATGTGTGTAGTTAGGACAACGTAGATATCAAACCAATATGGAAGCCTATCATTAGCAACATCAAGGCACAAGGTTAGAATAACCAGTGCAGACCTCCCGGAGAACATGGTACTACCAGTCACATCACCCAGGATACGTTGTCAAATAATATACATGAGCGGTAACAGTATCAGGGTTTACCTACCTTTTTTCTGTTGAGGCTCCCGGACTATAAATTGAATTTTCATGCCTCCCTTTACTTTTTCAATAAATACAAAAAAACGCACATTATACAGGTACAAAGACTTTTATTTTAAGAAACTTTAAAGGTTTAGATGAACTAATAAGTGTTTTTTTATCGAATAACTTGAATAAAATAAGAATAGGTACCAATGAGACGCTTGAGATTGCATGTTCTGTACCTGATGGTTGATTCTAGGTTGTGTTTTTGACAGAGCTATCACCAGGTCGCTATCGACATCAAGACGATTTCGCTGTTTGGTTTTAATTAGAACTAGAGCAGAAAATCCTGTCTCAAAATTTATCCAAAGTTAAAAGTTGGAGTCACTTTTCATGGACGAATCAGCCTTCATTGCTATAAATTCTTCCTGAACTTCTTTTGGTAATTGTGACACATCGATAACAAACGGATTTTTTATCATGTACTATATTGGTGACTCTGAATTGATGTCTCGATAGTGTCGGCGAAGTTCGTCTTCCAGCGCTTGCAAATGAGTGTTTATGTCACCATTTAAGTTTGTGTCCAGTATGCTGTTTTTAATTGTTTCGAACAGCCGACAAAAAGGTATAACATTTTCAGAAGACACTTTTTGATTCCAAAGTTGAAGCTTTGATATGAACCCCTGAGTATAATCATAATTGCTTATTATAGTGTTGTTTCTGCCCTGAAGTTTCAATTTTAGCTCATTCAAGGAGTCAAATATGTCAGTTAAATAAGCCAACTTTCATTGAAATGTGTCATTTTCGAACATTGTCAAGAAATCGTGTTTTTCTATGAACTCAAGAAAAATAATTACCTTTCCTTTCAATTCATAGGCGAGCCAACATGTTGGCTTTGGACAGCCAGCGTACCTGCTTCTGTACGGAACAGAAGGACTTCGTGATCAGAATCGAGATCCTCGCAAAGTAAAGTAAATTACCGACTGTTCAAAGCGCTGCTCTTGATGGAGTTCACAATCCTTATAGCCGAGTCCAAAGTCTGGCGTACTTCCTGTGGCAACGTTTTGGAAGCCAGAGCTTGCCGATGAATAACACAATGTGTACTAACCATTGCGGGACTTTTTTCTCTGAGCTTCTTAGCTAAGCCCGATCGAACACCTATCATTACAGGTGCGCCATCTGTGAAAAGTCCAATGAGTTTTTTCCAATCCAAATCATTTTTTCAACAAAATTTGATATTGAATTAAATATATCTTCAGATGTAGTACTTGCTGTTAAAGATTGGGAGTACAAAATCTTTTCTTGAATGATATCTCCACCGATGTAACGAACATAAACTATTAACTGTGCACAATTAACGATGTCGATGGATTCATCGCAACTAATGGCAAAAATGGCGATACTTTTAGTTTGTTAATTATTTGTGACTTTATGTCTGCTGCAATGTCGTCGATTCTACGCTTGACTGTGTCATTCGAAAGAGAAATAGACTTATTTTTTTGCTCTGCATCTTCACCGATAGTATGAGGTTTCTTTTGCTTTGCTATCATAAAAACTATTGCAAATGAAGCTTTGAGATGCTGCGATACACCTGTCTGATAACTTCCCGACTTGTTCAGTCACAGCCGCTTGAGCGGTTCTGCTTTAGAAGAAAAAATACCTTTTGTTTTCAAAACCAGAGTAGAGTGTTGTTGCTTAAAATGCCTTTCAAGGCGATTGGGCCTCATGCTATAATTACTTAAAACTATCATACATATCACACACTGAGGCAATTGTAACTCGTCTTCTTCAATGAAGGTAAATCCAAACTTAACGTAATCTTCGGAAGACTTTCTTTTTTTCTCTGCCATTTTGCACCTATAACAATTAAACAAATAAGCAACAAATAAATAAGCAAAATACCTAAATGTAATTACTAATTATATGGCCATTATTTTATCTTAATAACGTAATGTATTCAACAGTATTTTGGCCACAGGGAGATTTATATTTTTGTACGCAGGTTGACGTTATAATAGTAATTTTAAATACATTCGGAATCAATATTAGGTACTTAAAGTTCGTCGTTTCAAAATTATTTCGCCACGTTGTTTTGATTGTGATGTGATAAAAAAGTTCCAATGGTCGATCTATGAACGCGTCTCCACTCAATCAATAATCTAGTAAATTAAATAAAGATGGTAACTGAAGTTTGTAAATACACAAACTTAACTTTTAACAGTGAGACACAATAAGTTGACACACTCAAACAGATTTCTCAACAAAACATGTACATCGAAGCGTCAAATTTTTCACAAGTTTGTGGGAATGAATGTCACAGATGATCATCCGCGTCTGGTAGGTACACAATTGTTTTCTAAGTGATAAATGTTAAGCAGAACGCGGCGGGGGTGCGCGCGGACTTTATGTTGTGACTTGCCGTTTGTCTATTTTTTTTTTTTTGTTTCTAAAATGCAAACGCTTTCCGCCCCCCTTGACATCTCTCTATGCCCCCCTTGGGAGGTGGCGCCTCCCTGGTTGGGAACTCCTGGTATAAATAGCCGTAGGAGGAACATGAATGCTAGTTCACCCGGAAACGATTAAAGATAACTTGTCAATCAAAACGTTGTGATCTCAAAATTCTAAACACAAAGTCCGGAATAAAACTATTGAATTAAAAATGTCATGTCCAACTCGATATAATAAGCGATAAAATAAGCGCAGATTACCCACTAACTAGGATGATTGACTGTAAGCCTTTTAATGCCACTGAAACATGGCACACAATCGCAAATCTCACCCCAGGAGATCGCACGCTCATGCATTCGCCCCGTCACAAAGAACAAACAAAATAATGTATCGTGACGTTTCCATTTTCTGGCTGACTCTCTCCCTCTCCCCCTTACTCTGAGTCTGACATAACACAACTTCATATATGTATGTGGTCGAGCTAGATAAAGACGTTGAATTTCGTAGCTAAGAAGTTCGAAGGTCGCTCACGTGCATATCTGCTAATAATATTATGTATTCGACCTACCTTGAGAAAGTTACTTTGTGGGCGAACATTGGAGGTTATAAACATATTTTTCGATGGAATATTCTAGAATAGCGTGGAAGGAGCAGTAAATAAATGTGCTTGATGAGTAAAGCTTTATATGCGAATCAGTAGTGACTGCTTTTCCTGAACGCTGAATCTGATCAACAGTTTCGTTGATAATAATTTACACGTAAGCTTTTAGCGCTGAGGACAAACAGACGGATGGCGACCTACCTCTGAAGACTCAGCAATTTCGTGCAATTTAATAACTCAGTTAATTATATGCGGTTATGATGAATCCGTTCATTCCGGAGCTGAAATAACTAAGCATATGGTACATACTTTGTACAAACCCCAGACAAGACATGTCTTCAGATTTTGTTCACTTGACTGAGGTGCTGTTGCTATCACTACGCTATTCATACTTGGTGAGTTCAGGCGGAGTGCCATCCTACTAGTTAGTGACACTTTTTTAACAAACAGTATTAAGCGCCCCTCACATTTACGCATTGTTTCAGAACACTGAAAAGCTGACAAACAGGTTAATTTCTTCGGCACTCAGACGATGTTCAGCAGAGCAGGTTTTTTTGACAATAATACTGTTTTCGTCCATCCAATTAAGAAGCACCAGAGCAGAGCAAAGTATCTTCTATCTGTGATATTGGGTCTATCCAACAACTACCATCTATTACCAGAATCGACCTCTGCGAGAGTGAGCGGCAGCTATCTTGGAACGAGGGGTCTGAAAGTTAGATGAATAGCGCTTGTACTCCGTCGCGGCATCTAGCACTCACTATTACTCGCATTATCACTGATTCCCCGTTAATGTATGAAGAACTGTTCCCAGGGGGTTCAGTGCTTCCGTGTCATGCGTATTAAAAATTGACGCTTCATTACTTCAAGCGTGGTTCGAACTTAAAAATCAAATCCAAGCGGACAACCAAAATTCCAGTGTTATGTACCGCGGTTGTAATATGATTTGAGATGACACACGACTTGATGACGTCCGTTACTCGAATCGCTTGAACGCGTTGGCTTTAACCGCGGTTTTGTTGCAAGTTGTTTATTTTAGAAAAGCACGTATATAATTTCTGATTATTTTTATTATCACTTAATAATCGGTGCTTTTTCATCTACAACAGTGTAGGGAGGTTTAAAAAAGAAAACTTTCATTATTAATGTGACAAATGTTTTTTCCCAGAAAACATTTTTTAATGATGCAACCATGGCTTTGTAGCTATGATAACTTTCAGTTCTCTAAACCTTTCTGCATGTCAAAGAAAACATTTATTGATTTAGCAGAAATGATAGGAAAAAGCGATGAAAAAACATATTAGCAAAACCGTATACAGATGGACATTATCCTGGGAGTTTATATGGCCATATTTTAGTATTACTGTGGTATACGGCTATACAGGATACTTTGTTAAGCTTAGGAACTAGATCTAGTGTCCCCAACAAGAGTAATGAGTATAACGAATAAGGTGCTCTACTTTATGCTACAACTGAAGTGAGCCTGTATCAAGTTTCATAAAAATGAAGCTGAAGTACAACAAAAATATCCAATACCCGGCGAAATTCTAACTTGTTACATTTCAAATAATAACCAGAAATATAAAACTACTCCTGAGTTGGGTAAATACTGCAATTCTGCGGTGAAAACTATGACATATAACAGCTGATTCATGACGTTACGCATCTTATAACCAAACTGATAACCATACTCGCTTGAACGGATCGGTAAATACCAATCCAAAATGATAAATACCATTTTCATTTGGTTATTCGCTTGAATTTGATTATAGAGTTTCTAGCTACTATCTCTTCGAACGGTACGCTACAAGTACTTTGTGTTAAAATATTAATCTGCCACCATACATTATTTATCAGTTACAAATAAATTACTTCCAGGTTGGTTTAGAGAAATAAAATATTGATTCGTTAAAGGATGCAATAGCCGAAATAGTATCAAATCGAAGAATATCTTACAAAATTGGGAGAAGCGACAAGCAATCAGATAATGACCAATTTAGCAATTTAATTGTATAAGATTAAGTTTTTGGGAGATATTTTTCTGCAGATAAGGTGAAATTGTTGAAAAGGAAGTGAAGACACATTCTTTCTTCGTGCCAGTAGGTCTTGGTCTTGTATTTGAATTTTGTGTATATATATTTCCAATTACGTGCGATACAGCTGAATGTATTTAACAAAAGTCAGTATTATCAGACAATAAAAGTGGATAGAGTAACTAATTGCTTACGCAGCAACAATAAACGACAGTGCTTTTTCAGCTCAATGAGTAATCAGAACCACATATGCCTACTGATTGGACGTTACTTTTCGGTTGACTATGTGTACCCATTTTTTAAGTACCTACTAATCTACATTCTTCTCTAGCTGTTTCTTCAACTTCAAAAAGTCTATTTGTTCAGAAAATATAGTTTTATTATTGGCTAGTAGAAACTTTACAAAGGGTGTTGATAATGTATCGGGACAAAATTCAAGGACAATTTCAAGAAAAGAATTCATATGGACTTTTATATAAACATATGTCCAGAATTGCTCCATCTCTAAGGCCCGTATCGTCAGTCGTCCCTATAATTGTAGGGCGCGTTTATGGCCTCCTTGATTGTCATACTTCTTTCTCTCCTTCAAAAATTTCTAGATTACAAAAATTTCCATTTTATATCTCGCTTTAAAAAGCGTTACACGTTTTCGATTACTTTTATTAAAAAAACCAATTACAATCATCAGAAAAAACAGCTGATCATACATCCAGAAATTTTCATAAAGAGCTTGATACTTCTACATTTTACATCACCACATTTTTCTCATCCAAGTTTATGTAAATTCTTTGGAATAATCCAGTAATAACAAATTTTAGCTTAATCGGCTATACGGTTAAATTTTGACGAAAAAAAAAATCAATTACAAATGAAGTTTTCCATCCTGTATCGAAAGCGAAGTCTGTTCGAACCCACGTACATATAAAGTTCTTTTCTCTAATTTCCCCAGAAAATCACCCTTGACCTTTAGTCAGGTGCCTTAATTCATTTGTAATTTGTCTACAGTTTTCTGTAACGCCTTTTGTCAAGCACAACAGAGGGGTTTTGCCATGAGAATTTAGTGTCAATTCACACTTAGAGAGTGTCTTGTCTATAGTTGATATGGTCGGAATTTGCAAATGTATCTTATTTCGTGCGCTTTGATGGTGCAGACATATAGTCTAATCATATTAGACAGAAATACCCCTGGTTTGCCAAATAGTTGTAAATTCTCGTTTTATTGCTGCAAGTTGTTCAAGGGGGTATGTAAAACATGGACGCATAAAATGGGTAGACCAACTTTTGTGAGAAAACTTTTTATTCGACAACAAAGAATGAGAAAACATGTTCTTTGGCATTAAAGCGGAGGTGGTGGCAGGAACGAAAAGATAAGATTTTTAGGTCTTTATGACACCTACAAACTGAGACCACACGTAAAAGAATCTGACTATTAGGAAAAAGGTTATTGCCGAAAACCGAGGCAAACTGCAGCTTTGGTACTTGGTAATGCGACGACGCTTACTCGAAGATATTTGAAATTCTTCAAATTCGTAGGATTCGTACTTCTCAATAACCACATCGAGATTGGAGTAGTTTGGTCAAGTAACTTTTGAGAATTCCTAATTGTTTATCCCAAAACACCTGTTTTCTGGCCATCACTATTAGTTTATTGAGCAATATATACAGGGTTCGTTCGAAAGTCATTTTATAGCAAAATACACTAGTTTAACTTGCCGATATCAGTCGCAAACCATTCCG